TCCAATTCTCGGATTCGGATTCAGCGGATCGAAATATATAAGAATATACTTGTCCGGTTTTAGGCATTGAACACTTTTTTTTTGTGGGGCTGTGTTATCAACCGGCAAACGATCATCAGATGAAACTTCTGAGTAATTTTGTTGTATCATGTTGTATCATGTTTAGGTATTGATCATTATCGGTACAATAGACGGCAGTGAGGCGGCGCACATCGAAATGTAGCTTAATAATAATAATAATATTATAGATATTATTATTATTATAGTTTATATTCCATATAAACGTTTTGCAAAGATATATACAGGGTGTGGCAAAAGTTTAGAAACACTTAAATATCTCTTAAGAAATGAATTTAAAAAAAAACGTTTCAGACAAAAGTTGTAATGTTTAAAAAAACGCATTCAACGGTAATATCCGCTTGACCTTGGGTGGCGTTGCCAAGGTCAGGTCAAGGTCAACCTGATATTTGTAAATGGAATCCCCCACTTTTTATTACATATTCTTGTAGCTTACCTCGAGAGCTTTTCAAAACACCATAACTAAGTTTTTTTTCGTTAAGTATTTTCCGAGTTATGAGGCACGAAGGTTGCAGTACCGCTGACATTAGCATTACCCAAGATGTATTGCGTGGAAGTCGGATGCACGGTCGGATTTACATCTCGTGTGTGCGTGTGCGTGCGTACGTGTGTGCGTGCGTGTGTAAAAATGTGAGTGAGTGAGCGATCGAATGAGTATGTGTCTACAAATATAAATGTTCGAATTGTTGACCTTCTTCAATTTGACACTGAAGCAGTCGATCATGAAATCTCCTACTAACATTTTCTAATGTTTCGGAGGTAATTAATGCCACTTCAGTGGTAATTCGGTGTCGCAAATCATCCAAATTTTGAGGTTTTGTTTTATAAATGCGATCTTTTGACGTGGCAGCCGCGGGGGCGCTCGTCACTAAATGCGAAGCCTCGGTCACGACGCGGGTAGGGGGAGGGGGGAAGGAAAGTTCCGTGCGGTTAATGGGGAGCCTGACTTAACTCCCCGAAAAATCATAATAATCCCCGAAAAATCATAATAATCGGAGCAAAATCAATTAGTATTAAGAGCGCGCAGGTGAGACGGTCTCGCGTCCTATGATTTTGTGCCCCTGGACCTCCCGAGTCGACCAGCAGGACAGGAGGCGCAGGAAGGATGTGGAGAATGTCGCTCATCGCCCGGCACGGCACGATCAGGTGTTTGCTCTTTATTCTCTTTTCCTATTAGTAAATTATGTGTCGTCCCGAAAAAAATTACCGCTGCCGTGTTTGTTGTCAGACAAGCCCAGATGATAACACGGAAGGGGGCGAGCGGAGCGAGGCGGGATACCGTCGAGCACGACCATGACGCGTGGCCGCTCGCCGAAAACAGCGGCTAGACGGACCCGAAGACAATGCTCGTGGGACAAAGAGCGAGACAGAGACCGAAAGAGAGAGAGAGAAAGAGAGAGAGAGAGAGAGAGAGAGAGAGAGAGAGAGAGAGAGAGAGAGAGCCTTCATAACGCGGATCCACCATACCGATTCGCGGAAGGATTCCCGTCCCGTCGGAAGAGCGAGGAACAGGAAGAGAGGAACCGCTCCCGAAACGGAGAGACAAAAGGAAGAGACAAGAAAAGAGTCAGATTCCGTTTTTGGGTGCTCGAGAGTAGCTGATTTCGATTTTTCGCTCAGAAACGATTAGATTCCGTCGCTCACGCAGAAAATTAAGATTGGTGTTCCGCTTAACCGAGATTTTTGGTGTTCCGCTCGCGACCACGAGATTTTGGTGTTCCGATCGCTATCGATCAACGAGCGAGGTGCATTGTGCGTTGCCGGAGATCGAGCGAAGAGAGGAAAGGGGAAGGCAAAGCGGAGTGATGCCCGCCAACTGAGGCCGACCCAGCGCCGGAAGCGATCCGTCCGACGACCAGCGAGGACCACGCCGCCGGAAGGTTCCCGAGACCTTTGTAAGACTGTTCACCTGCTTATTTTCGGTGTCCCGTTTGCGTGTCTCATAGAAAAGTGAATTGTGTTGCACGGAGTGGTACCGATCTCGCGAGTACGCGCGTGGGGAAAAATTTGTATCGTCCCGCAGAGACTCGGAGCCTACCGACTTCCGAGAATTAAATAAAGAAAATTATCGCCGAAATCGCACCGGTCTGTGTCTTTTCAGTCTTCTCGTTTTCCCGACTTCCGGCCTAACTCATCCGTCTACCGACTGTAAACCTCTACGAGCTACCGGTCCCGTCGGAATCCCGCGTTGCGGTCACGCTCTTTGGCAATTGGAGTTGATGAACGGTGCGGCTGTCCGCACCTGGCGCCCAACCTAGGTCTTCACGTAAGAGACCGCGACGCGTGGCCCGACGGCAATTTGCCATCATTAAGAAATTAGCGTCGCAAGGCATACTCATTGAATCGCTCACTCACTCACATTTTTACACACGCACGCACACACACGCACATACGAGATGTAAATCCGACCGTGCATCCGACCTCCGCGGTACATCTTGGGTATTTTATAAAACAATAAATAAACAAAATTTAATAATTAAAGTATATATAAAATATGTTCAACATAAACTGTTTTTATGCTCAGCAAATTAGGAGAATCTATGTTATTACCAATATTATACTTAGCGTAAATCTAACAACAGAAGAATATATCTACTTACAATTGCTATATCTTTTCTTCGATTCTGTGAATCGCAGCAAACTGACAATTAAGGACATATGTTGTGCTATTATATGTAAGACACACATGTCTGATGTTGCTGTTAATGCTCTGTTGTGGCATACGAGAAGTGTCCTGAAGCCAGACGCTTGTAAATATTGTGCTAAACAGATTTAAGCTAACATTTAAATCAGTCTGAGATATAACGGATAAATTATATTTGTTAAATAAAACGATCCATAGGAAAGGATATTCTGTATATGAGAAGTCAACCTATAAAATGCGAAAATTGTCAGAAAATAAATACGCCAAAATATCACAATTAACGAAATTATCAACAATGATAAAACAATTTTTGACAATTATGCACCATTTATCGTAGTAGCCTAAACATGAAAAATGTCTAAAACTTTTTAAAAGTGTGGAAAGAAATGTATTAAGTGTATGTAAAGATTATAGACTTCTTTTCCTTTTTTAACTTTCCCTTTTTTAACATTTATTTGTTTATCATGCAATACAGTGACCACAAATCAATCTGAAAACTATTTTCCCTCATTTTCTATAACCTTCTACCATCTTTCGGATAACTGCCGGATTCCTTCACCCAAGAAAGATGTCCGTTTAGGAGCAATAAAATTATAAAGACATTTTCGTATTTCTGCCATCTCGAAAGCGTTGTTCTGCTAAGGAATGCTACATTGACCTGAATAAGTAATGATTTTACGGCATCAAGTCAGGAAAGTATGTCGCGTGCGAAAAAATTTCCCAGCCCAAGTTAATGATTTGATTAATGATTTGACGATTGATAAGACACAAGCTTATCGAAAATGATTAAGAAGCGATTGCCTCTTAAGGCCATCGCACGCAGAAAATCTGTAACCATAACTGTAATATCGTAAGGAAACTGACCGGTCACAATCGACTATTCCTCTAGTGCAAGGAGATATTATGTATAGTCATATATAATTTTTTTTCTCGGGATAAGTGTAATATGTTAATAAAATTTTATAAGACAGTTATATTATATTAGTTCAAAGTTTTACAGGCTGTTTCATAACTCATTACGAAGAATTCGTGGAGACATAGCACAGATTGAGACAAATATATATAAGTTCCATACCGTTTTGCAATAATTATTGAGTTATTAATGATAAAAATTTGACGAGTGAGCGCGCGTCGACGGGAATGATTAGAGAAGCCGTTCGGGCTATAGCACGGCTCCGTCGAACCAACAACTGTTGACAGAGCGAGGCGAGACGTAGAAGCCGCGAGATAGAACACGAATAGCGGCGCGTTGTCTTTCTCCTCACCATGAACCGGCAACACTTGCTTGATCGACTGGGCCGAACTGTGAGCCGAACGGCTACGACGCTTCTCCAGTCATCCATCTCGGTATGTGTTCACTCATCAGATTTATGTAATTAATAACTCGATAATAGAGATGCGAACTATCGAATTTCCATCGAATTGAATCAAATCTAATGTAATAACTCGATAATAGAGATGCGAACTATTCGAATTCCCATCGAATTGAATCAAATCTAATGTAATTCGATTCGATTCGAATTCGAATCCCTATGATTTTCGAATTCGAATAATTCGAAAATCACGAAACGCGAAAATTCGAATACAAATCAAATATATTAGTATTTACGCGCATCAGTTACAAAATAGGCCATCTGGGCCTGTATGTTTGAACCCGTAACTTGTAATTAACTTAACTTATAATTAGTAACTTAATTATAAATTACTTTAAATATTTAAATATATATTTTATTTTAAAATGATATTACAATATCAGTATTCCCTTTCATATTAAAATCTTCCATCATTATTTGAATGTTTAATAGTGATGTTATATTTTTTAATGATTCGATTCGATTACATTCGATTCGATTTAGATTCGAATGAAATTTCATAGATTCAATTCAATTCGAATTCGAATTTAAAAAATGAGATTCGATTCGATTCGATTCGACATAAAAATTCTTGATTCGTACATCTCTACTCGATAGTTTCGTGAATGTCGCAAAACGGTATGGGACTTTTACATTTATCTTAATCCGCTCCACGAGTTCTGTAACCATTGTTACGAGACATCCTGTATATGCCTATATAAATAGAAAGTATTGATTAAATTGTAAATATATGTATATTATACAGATAATTTTATAACTATAGATGCATAAATTAAATACATTGTAGTACATAATACGTGTATACAAATATATAAGTAGAGAAATATAAGAATAATAAAATAATAAAATGTAATAAAAATGTAATAATGAAAAAAATATCATCACAACTTTAAATACAGATGTCTTTATTATGTATTTGCAGCCTTCACTTCGCCCACTTATTAGTTATTTGAATTATTATTCGAATTCTATCACATCTTGTAAACTCCCTGGTTGAGAAACTATATGTTTCTTCTTTTATTTAAAATTTCGAAATCTCAAGTTGTATTTCGCGAATTCTTTCCTTTTGACTCTGCATTATTGCAAATATATCATACATATTTATTTTTAATTTGTCCCAATGAATATGTGCAAAATCCGCAATCTGAAACAGGTCAATTATATTTATGTTCAGTCAATATTTATATCCATAATTTCCAACTTTGACGAAAAATAAATCATTATATACAGGGTGGGGGGTTATAAGTTTACAACCCGAAGTGTGAAGGTAGATTAGGTTAAGACAAACATAAAAGTCCCATACCGTTTTGCGAGATTTGCAATAATTATCGAGTTATTAATGACAGAAATCTGAGGAATGGGAGCGCACCGATATAGATGATTGAAGAAGCGTTGCAGCTACTCAGGCCACAGCGCGGCCCACTCGACCCAACAACTATTGGCGGCGTGCGGCGAGACGTAGGTCCGGTGAGATAAAACAACGAATAGCGACGCATTGTCTTTCCCCTCGCCGCGCACCGGCAAAAGTTTCTGGATCGACTGGGCCGTGCTGCGGCCTAAGCAGCTGTAACGCTTCTCCAATCATCTATGCCGGCGCGCTCCCACTCCTCAGATTTCTGTCATTAATAACTCGATAATTATTGCGAATCTCGCAAAACGGTATGGGACTTTTATGTTTGTCTTAACCCAATCTTCCTTCACACTTCGGGTTGTAAACTTATAACCCCCCACCCTGAATATTGTGTGTTTGAAAACGAAATGGAAATTTATTAAAAAATATTAAACGCTATACGAAGAAGGTAGAAAATACACACCATATTGATATGTTCAATGGTATATACATTCATTATCATATCGCCCAATAGATTTAAATTTAACAAATTTAAAGGAACGTTTCTCCACCTGTAAATTAGGAATGATTAAATTAATAGTTAGTAGACACACTACACTCTTTTGCGATTAGTCCTAAAGACTTATGACAGAAACAATCACCAGTGTATTTCAAAATAATTTTCTATGATGTATTTCAGAACATCATATTTTGCTACATGTTTCTTTATAAGAACACGATAAAGTTCATATTTAAATTTAACATTTTCAAATCTAACTGACATTAATGTCATATATTTTATGTTAATTTGTGCATCCTCCGAGCAATATACGTATTTCAATATATCTATATCTGTGGTGTTTATGTATCTTTGAAGCAGTATATCCAATACAGTTTCGTTCGCCGTCATCATGCCGGCACAATATGCCCAATTCTTCCACCATGGTGCAATTCTACGGCGTACGAGAAATATCAACTATTAGCAAAGGTTTCGATTATATGACCGATCAAATACTTAGCGCAGATAACAAAGAAACATATTTATGAAGATTAGTATTGTGTAAAGATTTACTTGTTATCTTCAGGATTTAACAGATGACCAAGCAATTTCGTCCTGGCAGTTAATTGACATTTCGTATCCCCTAACTTACAAGCCCATCTTGTTGCTAATAATCTCAGTGTTTTATACATATTGTCCTCATAACTGTTTTCTTCGTATCCTAAATTTTGAAGTAACTCTTCCAATATTTCACGTATCTGTATCTAATATATGTCAAAGGTGTTGCGTTGTTTATAGGGAACTGATGTTTATAACTACGTATGTATGATGAAATACATGCATAATATAAAAATATGCAAGACAGAGAAAATGTTAAATACAGAAGTTCTAGGGATTTAAATGGCGCACTATTATTTACTATTATTACTATTATGTTTACTATTGTTAGTACTACTAGTATTACTACTATGACTTAATACTACTATTATTAGATAACAGTTGAAGAACATCACCATGGTTATGGGAAAGTAACTTTAAAATATTTTAATAGAATCCCCTATTTTTTATTATACCATTCTTTTCTACTAATTAATATTGACAACTTTGTTTGAAACGTTTTTTTTATTTGCCTAATATATTTTGAGATTGAATATTTCTAAAAGTCGGGTTAACAAAATTTAAATCACTATTGTAACAGCATATTCTTGAAACCAAATAGAGTAAGTATTATTTACTCTAGTATTACTTTTTCTTCCGACAAATACTTATCGAGATATCGTAAGCTATATATTAAAAAATTTACAAAGGTAAATTTCCCAGTGAGGAATGATTCGTCGATCGATTTGATAATTTCGACGTCGATTCGACATCGTTTCGACATCGATTGACGAATTATTTCTCACTAGGATGCACATAAGGTCAACCTCCTCAAAATCCATGACTTTGACATATGTTGTTAAGGACATGGACCTCAGTATTATGCAATAAGTTGCAGCTATCGCTCATTGTTCATTAAAAAGTTATGAACAAAAGAAATTTCGGTAATTATGCATATTAAAGGACACCTTGGCGATGATCTTGAACTTCATATATGTCAAGGACATAAACCTGAGCAACTTAGAAAAAGTTTCAGTCGGCGGTCACTGTTTATTAAATAGTTATTAATAAGAGAAGTTTCATTAATGAAGCATAATTTTTTGACACAGGGTACATTTAACACCTAAAGCTTGCAGGAGGTTACTTTGGGACATACAGGTTGCGTGAAAAGTTCGCGGAGCGAAACTGAAATAAAGAATACCAAATTCTAAAAATGATTTTATTCTTCAATATAGTCTCCATTAACTTCAATATACTTGATCCAATGGCTCTCTAATAATTTTATTCCATCGCGGAAGTGTGTTTCTGGAAGGTCTGCGAAATATGCCTCTACGGCTGCTATAGCTTCTTCATTCGACAAAAAATGCTTTCCACGGAGGAATTGTTTCAGGTTTCGGAACAGATAGAAGTCGCTGGGTGCCAAATCTGGCGAATACGGTGGATGATCAAGTAATTTGTACTTCAATTCATTGAATTTAGACATTGACAAAACACTTGTGTGAGCAGGTGCGTTGTCTTGGTGAAAAATGATTTGTTTGTGCTGCAAATCAAATCTTTTCTCACGAATTTTTGCGTCCAATTGATCCAAAAGGTTACAATAATATTCAGAGTAAATTGTTTTACCTTTTTCCAGATAGTCAATTAACAATATCCTTTTAGCATCCCAAAAAACTGATGCTAAAACCTTTTTTGCCGATCTTTCATGCTTTGTTTGTTTTGGAGCTGAACATCCAGCTTCAGTTCACTGTAAACGTTCCTGTTTCAATTTAGGATCATGGTGATAGATCCAAGTCTCATCTATAGTTATAAAACGACGCACAAAATCGGTTTTATTCTTCTTAAAACGATCCAAATGACGCTGAGAAATTTGCTTTCGAGCGAGTTTTTGTTGAATTGTTAACCTATGCGGCACCATTTTTCCAAACATCTTTTTCATTTGTAATTCTTTATGCAAAATATGCCGTATCCGTTCATCTGAAATGCCTATGGTATGAGCAATTTCACGCGTAGTCACACTTGGATCTTCAGAAACAATAACATGTATTTGCTCAATGATTTCTGGTGTTGATGCGCTTTTTAGACGTCCACTGCGTGAATCATCTTCAATGCTTGTACGACAACGTTGAAACTCAAGTGCCCATTTACAAACCATTGTTTTTGAAGGAGCAGATTCCCCTAACATATCAGGTGTAGTAAAAAGAAATCCATTATTTTTCCAATAGATGGCTTTAGTTATCTGTATCTCGCGTTATACAAGTCCGATCGGGTTCCACTAGATGGCGTTAGAAAGATGAGATTTCGTACTAAAAAAACTTTTTTGACAGTTTTGTGATTAGTTGACTCAGTTTTGTTTGAGCGCGCGTCAAAGATGGACACTACCAAAGAGAAAATACGCTATATTTTACAGTTTTTCTTCGATAAAGGCGAAAACGCAAGCCAGGCGGCTGAAAATGTGAATAGTGTTTATGGTCCTGATACTGTAACAGCCAATCACGCGCAATTTTGGTTTCGTCGATTCCGTTCCGGTAATTTCGATGTCAAAGATGCACCACGCACTGGAAGGCCAATTGTCGAAAATATCGATAAAATCATGGACATTGTCGAGTCCGTCTGTCATGTAAGCACTGTTTCGATTGCCCAAGAGCTAAAGATTGCACAAAAAACCGTTTGGAACCATTTGAATAAGGCTGGATACAAAAAGAAGCTCGATGTATGGGTGCCACACGAGTTAACGAAAAAAAACCTCATGGACCGAATTTCCATCTACGAATCGCTGCTGAATCGCAATAAACTCGACCCATTTCTGAAGCGGTTGGTCACTGGTGATGAAAAGTGGATCACTTACGACAACGTCAAGCGAAAACGGTCGTGGTCGAATCGCGGTGAGCCGGCGGAAACGGTGGCCAAGCCAGGATTGACGACCAGGAAGGTTTTCCTGTGTGTTTGGTGGGATTGGCAGGGAATTATCTACTATGAACTGCTCCCTTACGGCAAAACTCTTAACTCGGAACTGTACTGTCAATAATTGGACTGTCTGAAGGAAGCAATCGCCCAGAAGCGGCCAGCTTTGGCCAATAGGAGAGGAATTGTGTTCCATCAGGACAACGCCAGGCGACACACATCGATAGTGACTCGCCAGAAGCTCTGGGAGCTTGGTTGGGAGGTTCTTATGCATCCACCTTATAGTCCGGACCTGGCACCAAATGATTACCATCTGTTCCTGTCCATGGCGAACAATTTTGCTGGTGAAAAATTCGCTTCAAGAGAGGCTTGTGAAAATCGACTGTCTCAATTTTTTGCCAATAGGGACGAGGGCTTCTATGAGAGAGGCATAATGAAATTACCTTCAAAATGGCAACAAGTTATCGAACAAAACGGCGCATATTTGACCTAAATCGGATCATTCTAACTATGGTAATTAAAGCCTTCAATTTCATGTAAAAATAATGGATTTCTTTTTACTACACCTGATATTTACCATCTCGGAATGAATTTTCATTGCCTTTAAATCTTTTTTAACAGAGAACTCAATCACTGCACGCTGTTTCAAATTTTTGATTGCAAACAAATATACTGACACGTCAACTTCAATTGGCTTGACACAAAAAGAATTGACAGATAGGAATGAAACCTAACCTAGGTTCATGTGAAGAGTGATTCTATATAACCGATTACAATTTATAATTCTACCGTTTACTTATAGATGCCGCTCCGCGAACTTTTCATGCAACCTGTAGTACATACAAGGTGGGGGGTTATAAGTTTACAACCCGAAATGTGAAGGTAGATTAGGTTAAGATAAACATAAAAGTCCCATACCGTTTTGCGAGATTCGCAATAATTATCGAGTTCTTAATGACAAAAATATATAGAATGGGAGCGCGCCGACATAGATGATTGGAGAAGCGTTGCAACTACTCAGGCCACAGTGCGGCCCACTCGACCTAGCAACTGTTGGTGGCATGAGGCGAGACGTAGGTCCTGCGAGATAAAACAACGAATAGCAGCGCATTGTCTTTCCCCTCGCCGCGCACCGGCAACATTTGCTGGATCAACTGGGCCGCGCTGCGGCCTAAGCAGCGCAACGCTTCTCCAATCATCTATGCCGGCGCGCTCCCACTCTTCAGATTTCTGTCATTAATAACTCGATAATTATAGCGAATTTCGCAAAACGGTATGGGACTTTTATGTTTGTCTTAACCCAATCTACCTTCATACTTCGGGTTGTAAACTTATAACCCCCCACCCATTATAAGCGGGGCAAAGGCTGCGTCTCTCCCTCGTACCCCTTCCCAAGAAAAGTCTAATTTAACCTAAATTATTGTATCTTTATATATTGTTGAGCGTGAATTTTAAAGATTTTGATCTTTTCAACGCTCAACAGTATATAAAGATCCAATAAGTTAGATTAGGTTAGGATTCTTGGAGAAGGAGTGCGTGGGAGAGACGAAGCCTCTCGCCCGCTTATATAATATGTACTGTTTAACATTTCTTAATGTATATTCGAGATTTCATGTATGTTCAAGATGTATTATCCGATCACGAATAAAATTTTATAATAGTTAAATATGTACACGTTCAAAAATTACATACATTACATATATTCCATTCAACTTCTTTCGTCAATAACTTTTCAATGAACAATGAGCGGCGGCTGCAACTTTTTGCATACCACTCAGGAGCATGTCCTTAATAACATATGTCAAGGTCATGGATTTTTGAGAAGATTGACTTTATGTTCATATTTAACTATTTTTTTTATCTTGCATGTTTTCAAAGTTATTCAGATTGTCCTATTTTTCCCTTCACTCTGTATATTTGAACATACATGCATACATATATTTATTATAAAAAATATTTTACTTCCTAATACTTTTTTGGAATAGTCCATCTTGAATACTATAATGCTTTTTCGTACCCAGAGTGGACTACGCGTCCCCTAATTAACTTGTTTGATAAAATTCAATATCACTTACCTTCATATATCTCGCTTTCGGGCTATTCCAAATGTGCGACATGAACGATAGAATATTAAACATCGGATACCAGGCTGTATAACTTGTCGAGCTACGCAGATGTCTTGCGATTTCCCAAAACGTGAACGGTGACATGTTGCCTTGTGTCACTTGATAATACACGTCATTAATCAATTGCGCACGATTGAGGACATGCATCTTATCATATGCATCATAGTTCAAGAAATTTGCAATTCGTATCCAAGTATTTTCATCATAATTAACGCGATAATACCCTGCTGTAAATTAAATAATCATTGTTGCTGTTAGGAATTTGTATTTGTGTTTGCCGAAACATGCTACCTTGCAAGCTTAAAACAAAATGCAATAACCCAGAGCTGTTTTACACTCTAAAGGAGAGCTGGAGACGATCTGCACATTTCGAGCGAAATTCAAGAGGTAACCCTCCCCCCCCCCCGGGAGACATCATCTTCTTGCCGGTGCTCCGCGCTCAGTGACCGAGGCGACGAGTGCGTTCAGGTCCATCGCTGTGTAAAAAATCAGCTGGAGCGCACCCTCGTGTCATATTATTATTAAAATTTGGTCCTCATTTAATAATCAATTTAAAATATATGTGTGTGTTTAAGTGTTTTATATATATCACATAAATATATATATTTTAAAATGATTATTAAACGAGGAAAAAATTTTAATGATAATATGACGCGAGGGTGCGCTCTAGCTGATTTCTTATATAGCGACGGATCTGAACGCACCGCGATCGTCGTCTCGGCCGCTGAGCGCGGAACAGTGGCAAGGTGACGGTGGGTGCCACCTCTTGAATTCCACCCGAAATGTGCAGATCGTCTTCAGCTCTGCTCTAAAGTGACAGCGTTACTATGGGCGAATTTATCAGGTACACTTACCACTTTGAGAATTAAATATAATAACATCAGCATTCCTACCCAGTCCAATAATTCCAGTGGAAGAATTGGTTATCAAAATATGGTCGGCGACAAAATGACCAATAGAGAATGAAAGATATGTAAATGTTAATGGAACTTTCCAAGTGGAGTTTTTCATATTCAGAATTCCAGTAATATTATATGTCACTATATTCTGTTTACGATCACGATCACGAAGAACTTGCACAACAGGATAGTATTTTTTACTTAACCATGTGTCCATAATTTCCTTTATTCTAAACTTTTTCTTTTGTTTTTTTTCAAGCACACTTTGTAAAATGGCCCAGAAATCATTAGGAGTGGCTGAACGAAATTGTCTATAAAAAAGAAATTCAATATAGTTATATGTATGTGTGCCTTCGCGTTTACATATGCACGTTCTATCGTTAGTAATGTGTAAATTCTGCAATATAAGTACTGAACACATTTTTAATTAACTACGTATTCATTCGAGCCTTTTAACATAAATGCTTAAATATACCGAAAAATTTAGTGTAATAAATAATATTAATTTTAATTAATGAAGACGTAACGATAAATATCGAAAAGTATCATTTCTGTCCTACATATATTACACAGTTTCTTTCTTGAAATAATATGAAATGATAATGAAACATATGATTATATTACGATGTATTACTTACAATGTATTTAAATATTCTTTGACAGCTAGTTGAAATTTATCCCGCGTGATCATATGCTCTATCATGCGTAAAAGAGCGAATCCTACGAAAAAACATTACAATGTAGCCTAAAAAGTCTATATAATTTAAATCTAGTTTAAATATAATAAGGACTTAGTCGTATTATCTATATACTATTTCCGTGCGAAATATATGAATATGTTTTTTTAAAAATTCAGTCAAACATTCACCTTTATTATAATACCAACGAGAACAAAGAACAGCATCAATTTCATCCGTAGCCTGTACATTGTATTCGGAAAGGACTTCCATTCTAAAGTTAGTTTCATAGTGAAGAGTTTGTTGAAGGATTTGGATCTCATAAAGTTCTATTAATTCTAAACTGTTGGAAACCTGTAAATAATTACTATTAAACAAACATGAAATATAGACAAATGCACAAATTAACATTATGTTAATGAAGTACGACAAATGTCATATTCTAGCAAATATATAACGATATATTATGGTAATATAACAAGATAATATATAATGTGCTATATTATATATTATACGTAATATATAATATAACAAGTAAATCGCAAACGAATTACAAAGATATGAATTACATAGTACTGCATATACAAGGTGTCCCATTTTAATGTCTCACTCCAAATAACTCTTCAGTATTGAAGTTCGAAGGAAAAGGATCTGAATAAAAGTTGTAGGGATTTAAATAAGCTATCTTATGATGACCCTGACTTTGACCTCGAGCTCTATTTTCAAGGTCATTTGAAGGTCCACTTGCGTTTTTTAAATGGGAACCCTTATTTCTTATTACACTGTTTTTTTAGTAGTTAATTTGAACAATTTTTGTCTAAAACATTTTTTTATTTGTCTAATATTTTTTGAGATATTTGAGGAAAACTTGATAACTTTTTCAATATTTAACTTACGATATCTCGCTAATTATTTGTCGGAAGAAAAAGTGGTACTAGACTTTCTTGCTTTATTTAGTCTTAAGAATATATTGTTACAATAGCGCCCTGATTTTTGTTAATTTGATGATTTTGAAACTTCCAAAAATCAGTAAGTTAACAAAAGTCAAGGCGCTATGGTAACAATATATTCTTACAATATTAGAATTACTTTCCCATTCATATAAAATTGCAATTATATAATATAAATGTAGTATGTTATTAAAATTAAAATTAAAATATGACAGGATCGTTGTATTAGTTACGAAAAGGTCTTACATTATAGTTAAGAGGTTTCAGGAAAATATTATATAACAGAAATATAAATTATATTTTTCTTAATATATAATTATAATTATATATGATGTTAATAATAGTAATTACAATAATATGATGTTTAAAAGTAACACTTAAAATCCGTCATATACACGAAATCAAACTATTTATCATGTTATGAGATATTTCTTACGTTACGTTACATACTTACGTTACATACTAGTTATATTTAATGAAATATATATATTATTGAAAAGCGTTTAGGATAATTTATAAACTCTTGTGATACCAATCATATGTCTTTAAATACATAACTAATTCGTACACCAATAATGTTGACAGATACATGATAACTTTGCTTACGATGTAATGACTGTAAAGCTTCGAAAGTGATTCGCCTAACCACAGATCGGTCCACCAAGTCCCGGTAACCAGTCCTACAAAGTGCTCACGTGTCATTCGATGTGAAATCAGCTGGCTTATATCATTCTTGCGGCCAGGGAAATCGTAATTTTCATTATATAGAACATCTTTTTCACTGTAAATTGTGAATTGATACGATCATTTGATGACAATATTATTATATACAATTTTAATGTTTTATTGTTTCTGTAGAAATTAGATACAACTAATTTAAAGTTTCAAATACAACAAACCCCAATAAATGCAGTATAATAATAACACGACATCAATTTTATCGTCTTATATTCCGCAATACAACAATCATGTGTTTTATATGTTTTAGCGAACTTACACAATTAAATCGGAGAATAAAAGATTGGTATAATATTACAGTTGTACTTATACAGTTATACTTATTAGATCCGCAGTCTATTGCGAAGGAATTTTCATATATTCATATAATTTATATATTTTTATCAGTATTCTACATTAATCGGAATGAGTTCTTTTTCTTTATTCAGCTATGATGCATCGCCATCGTGAATATCGCCAGATTGATAGTACACAGACTTTTTTTTAAGTTTCAATGGTACAGTCTGTAAAGTAAGAGCGTGTACGGCATAAATGGCAGTTGGCTTCAAATATCGCCCTAATTTTTTTGTGAGCCGATAGATGAAATATTTGTCGTGAATGCTTTGTCACAAAAGATTCAGTTGGCGTCGAACTCTAACCTGAGAAACATGTTAACCGCCATGAGTGTCGCATATACATCGTGCTACGAGACTGTGTTCCTTTGTTCCCACTCCAAAGGACCAAAAATGTCATATGCAGTGGCTGCTAAATACATGGGAAAGTCAAAATCGTTCGTCGCTAAGTGGGTTCAGCAATATAAGAAGATAAAAAATGTCAATGACTTGCCAGAACGTGGTTCGATAGGCAAAGTGACGCCGAATATGGAAAAAAAAATTGTGAATTTGTTTAAGCGGAACCCGGCCTTAATGTTTAAAATTTATGAGAAGTGTTTGGTGCCGACTGCTGAACGATGCTTCATAAAAAAAACGAGGACTGGATCTTATAAGAAGACAACGACCCAAAACACCGGAGCAAGCTTTGCACCGAGTGGAAAGAGCAGTCTGGCATCGTCACACTTGATTGGCCATCGCAGTCGCCAGATGCAAATCCCATTGAAAATGTGTGGGCATATCTCAAGCACAAGCTTCGAGGAAAAAGAGTATGCACTTTGAAGCAGCTGACACGACAAATTCGACTCATTTGGAGGTCTTTACCGAACGAATACGCAGTCAACTTAGTGGAAAGTATGCCTCGGAGATGCCAAGCAATTATTAGAGATGTGCGAACTATTCGAATTCGAATCGAATTGAATCGAATCTAATGTAATTTGATTCGATTCGAATCCGAATCCCTATGATTCGAATCCGAATAATTCGAAAATCTCGAATCGCGAAGATTTGAATACGAATCAAATATATTAGCGTTTGTATGTATCAGTTATAAAACGGGCCATCTGGGCCTGTATATTTGAACCCTTAACTTATTTTTAACTAATTATTAATTAATAATATTTAATTACCGTAATTAACCTAACTTATAATTAATAACTTAAGTATAAATTACTATAAATATTTAAATATATATTTTGTTTTAAGATAATATTACAATATTAATATGCCCTTTCATATTAAAATCTTCCATCGTTATTTGCACATTTAATATTCATGTTAAATTTTTTAATGGTTCGATTCGATTTGATTCGAATTCGAATGAAATTTCATAGATTCGATTCGAATTCGAATTTAAAAAATGAGATTCGATTCGATTCAATTCGACATAAAAATTCTTGATTCGCACATCGCTAGCAATTATCAATGCCGGTGGTGACTGGACTCATTATTAATGATATAGTATTTTTCTTCTCATGGAGTACAACAAATCCATGTACTTAAAAATGATTAAAAATAAATTTTTCTACACATTAACCCGTACACGCTCTTACTTTACAGACTGTATATACTACAGCACTTGAATTATATATATCATGTACCTGTATATTATAAGGCCAAAACATCCCACTGAGATTATTGTGTTACTTGCAAATGATATGTGATCCCTCTTCATCAATAGATTACGGGATAAACCCGTAAAGGACTCGGAGCGCAAATACACTAATGCGACTGTTCTCAATGTATCTTGCATCATCTCCGTTTCTGACATGTACCACATAAAGTCAGTCTTAGATATATTATTAAATTTAAGTCTAACGTTGTTTTCAAGCAGAGCAATCAAAACGTTGGATGGGGATATCAAAGGCGTCTCTTCAAAATATGTCCAGCATGTAATTGTAGAACAATTATGTGTGATAATTTGCATATTTGAAAAAGGTGAAAAATCCTTAGGATGCTTGACAGATATGTCGAACGTTGCCTTTATTCCGGGCTCGTCCCAACATGGAAACACTTTCCGTGCCTCGTTAAATTGCATGGTAATTAACCTATTGTAAGAACATATTATTGTGAAATTTTTCAGCGTTGCCACGTATACTTTATATGTTTTTACATAATCTATATGAAAATTCGTATTGAATTGTATTTAATTCAATATGAATATTGTTTCCATATGACCATCCGAAACTGTATAAAATTTGATTTATACCGGGCATTTCAGACCACTCGGATCACCCGATTTTTTCGTTAACGTGACATTTTAGAGAAAAATATTTCAGACAGAAGTTGTAGGGCTTCAAAGGATCTATTTACTGACGCTATGAATTTAACTTTGGGATAACCTTGAAAAGTCCAGTCAAGATCAACATAAAAATCTTAAATGGATACTCCAATTTTTTATTACATCATCTTTTTCTACCAATTAATTTGAATAACTTTCGTCTGAAACATTTTTTATTTACCTGATATTTTTTGAGATATTTAAGGAAAACTTGATACCTTTTTCAATATTTAACTCACGATATCTCGCTAACTATTTGTCAGAAGAAAAAGTGGTACTAGACTTTTTTGCTCTATTTGGTCTCAGGAATATATCGTTCCAATATCACCCTTTGGTTTTTTGGTTTTTTTGGTTAATTTGATGATTTTGAAATTACCAAAAATCAGCAAGTTAATAAAAGTCAGGGCACTATTGTAAAAATATATTCTTGAGACTAAATAGAGCAAAAAAGTCTAGTACCACTTTTTCTTCTGACAAATAGTTAGCGAGATATCGTGAATTAAATATTGAAAAAGTTTTCAAGTTTTCCTTAAATATCTCAAAAAATATTAGGTAAATAAAAAATTATTTCAGACAAAAGTTGTTCAAATTAATTGCTAGAAAAAGATAATGTAATAAAAAATTGGGATACCCACTTAAGATTTTTATGTTAATATTGACTGGACTTTTCATAGTTATCCCAAGGTCAAATTCATAGCGTCAGTAAATAGATCTTTTGAAGCCCTACAACTTTTATCTGAAATATTTTTCTCTAAAATGTCGCGTTAATGAAAACATCGGGTGACCCGGGTGGTCTGAAACATCCGGTATATGAGTATATGCCGATGTATGTCGCAAAAAAGATCGCTATACAAATGGAAATTATACAAATACTTATGAGTTATAGTTATTTATATTTCATTTATATACCAAACTAGGGACTTCGACAAATATTTTATCATTTAGAAGAAAGTGAACAAATCAGTTTTACTGTTAATTTTTCCTTATGATAATTATATAAACCAATATAACAAGTAGAATATTTTATCCAAATGAGTTCAATAGAAAGGGATATTTTTTCTGAAATAGTAATTAACGGTATATTTAATGATTTATTCAACATCTTACCATTTTCTGTCAAGGTTTGTTCCTGCATTCTTGTACTCGTATTTAACTATACCTTTCTCAGTAGAAATAGGAACGTTGAAATTGATTGTTAACCTACAAACTCCGGTAGGTATCATTTTATTAAACAGTAAATCCAAAATCTGCGATCGTTTGCAATAACGGTAGCCAAACAAATTGTACGTTTCGAATGAGTAAGTATTCACTTTCTTTAGGTTTATCGAAGCACTCACAATACGCATTTTATAAGCATGCAAGCTTATTATTGTAGTTGGATTTTCAACAGTGATCATAATTTTAGCTTTACCGTAGACTATAGTATTTTGCTTATTTATTTCAAAAGATATGTTATATTTAGTTGGCCGTAATTTATTAACCGGTAAACGATCGTCAAGTGATACATTCTTGCAACGTCGTTCCGCTATACTAGCAAATTGATCATCAGGCGGTAAGGCAAGTCCTAACATGTTTACATATTGATCACTATCGGTAACAAAAGGTAGCAGTGAGGCGGTGCACATTGAAATATGACTTAATAATAATAGTATCAGAGGTTCCATCTAAATATTTCGCAAAGATATACATGTACCTGTATGGACAAGTTATTTGTTAACGAAACGAAATATTGGTTAACATTAAGTTTTAGTATTAGACCATTATTACTCAATATTGTGACTTACTGTTGATGCCCCAATAGAAGAATAGTAATATAAAGTAATAACAGATATGAGTTAAATATTTCTTACCCAAATAGATATATTCCCCGTATTTGTTATTTCCACTTCTAATACTTGTTTACTTTTGTACTCAGAACAAATACAACTTGCGATATTACGATCTGCTTACGATCTTGTTACATAGAAAAAAAAGTAAACACAATACCCCTTCTCCGGAGCAATAATAACAGTTAGGTTTCGAAAAACGGTGTGATGCACGATTGATTAAATACAAAGAAATTTTCAATATAATAACATATAAATTATTGTTGGAATACTGAGCAATATTGATATGGAAAATATCATATATTTTACATACTACATATATATATGTATACTTCGGAAAATTCCCTGAATATAATATATTTATAAATTATTGTAATATATCACGAAGATGGACAATAAAAATTGCTTTAAAATTTTACAAAGTAAAACAACATTTTACTGATTTATTATGTAGATGTCGATTATAATATTAATAAATAAATGAAGCTTACATGATAAAATTTGATATAACAATATTAAAATTAATATTTTAAAAATAATAAATAAATGAAATTTGATAATTAAATATATGTATGTATATAAAATATATTGAACATAAACTGATTTTATGTTCAGCAAATTAGGAAAATATATGTGATTATCACTACTATACTTAGCGTAAATGTAACGGAAGAATATATGTACTTACTCGCGAAAGCTATACCTTTCCTACTCGGCGAATCGTAATACACTGACGGTTAAGGTAACACGTCGCGTTATTATAGCTAGGGCACCGCTTAAACTAAAATACCCATACATCGTGATACAACACTTTTACCGAGAAAGGAACAAATCGATTCGCATACTTTTGCGTTTTTCCTTGTTGAAATTCGTAAAAAATACGAATTTACGGATAAGAGTCAGATATTCATCTTATCTTTTATCATTTTTGACTCTACTGAACTAAATACTTTTGAAAGTTATTTGGAGTTTTCCATTATGCTGAATGTTATTTTTAATAGTTAATTTTATATAACTGCAAAACAGCAGGACAATCAATTAATTTTGAATTTAATTTTACAACTGCTTCAAAAAATTTGGCATTTTCATCTTCCATATAATTTACAATCGCGCCAGTTACTATAGTGGTTTTCGAACGCCGTATTAATTTCTCGCTACAAATGTCTGGAGGCTCTTGAATTATACTCGATTCCCATATGTACAAAATTGCCCACCCATGACATTTTCAATTCCTCGGGTCGTGTAATACGAGCCAGCACTGATTGCATGGCGCTGATTACCTATCGCAGCCGTTTAGCTTGATAGTTTAGTAGTTCTAATAGTTAGTAGTCTGATGGGCCTGATGGTATATTTGTCATAGACAATAAATTATTTTTTGTCTGGGGCTGTATAGTTGGAAAGATACAATAGCAAGCGCGGTAAAACACGGCCTGATTACCGAAACAGAAGAATTTATCATCTCTTAAAACTTTTGAACCCATTCCAGAAAATTCTAAAAGGAATGTGCTGGGGGTAGTACTGATGAACATGTAATTTTTGATTGATGAATATTTAATTTTTGATTGACGAACATTTAATTTTTAATAATGAATATTTAATTCTTAATTAAAGAATATTTAATTTTTGGTTACCCTCATCTATCCACTTCCCTCGTGATGTAGAAGTGATGTCCTAGGACGAACGCTATCTTGAAAAAGTGAATTAGAACAAATTTCTACTTACAGCTGTTCTACTTATACATATATACATATGTATATATGTATGTATATTAGGGTGGAGCGCGTTTATATAAAGAATATATAAAGAAAAAAATCTGTTTTGAAATTTTACAACACCCGTAAGCGGAAAACATGCGAATATGTTTAAAAATAATATTTGGAAACTTGATCAGAGCTTATCTTCTGCCTCTAACTTTTGTTTAAAAATTTGATTAGTAGCAAAATCATACAAATTTTGAAAAAGACGCAATTAAAAATTTCATGATATTTTTAATTCTATTTTTATCAATAATTTAAATTATTATAAACATTTTAGCATATTAAACTAATTAAAATATATATAAGAGCAAATCATTTTGTACATGTGTGTACGATGCGTGCGAGTGTTTTGACATTGTCGGCGAGATGAGACCGTAGCGAACAGGCGACAAACATCTGCGATTACCTTTTAGCAATATTCGTTTGTTTTCTACTCAGTGGGCTACGAATCACGCGCTTGGAAACAAGTCAGTTGACGACAATGAATCTGAACAAATATACAGGGTGTCCCATTTTAATGTACCATCCCAAATAACTCTTCAGCATTGAAGTTTCAAGAAAAATGATCTGAATGGCTGCTCGACGCGCCACTGTGAGTGTATGGCGAAAACTACGGCTTATTATAAAAGGCAGTGCAATGCGTCGAGCAGTTCCCTCTTCGATTCGGGTTCCCATTTGAGATTTGAACGTTACCACCCACCCTACCTCGAGAGGATGGGGGGAATAACTTTTATTATGTTCTTTAAAAATATTGAACAGGTATTTTTTATTTCTCAATCCAATGATCATTTCTGAAGAACTGCGGAAAATATAATTTTTTGCGATTACAGCGCATTTTCACGAATAAAAAAAAAAGTTTCGGACAAAATTTACGTATTTTGTGGCGTAAAATCCGTATCTGCAATAAAAAATGGGGGTTTCCATTTAAGATTTCAAAGTTGCCCCCAACCCCCACCCCCAGGGGGTGGAGTGGGAGGTCGAGTTTGGTATCATTGGATGTCCCCCTTCGAGACTAACAACTTTCATTAACCACTTTTTTTTATCCAATGCATAGTTCTCGAGATATTTCAATGTCTTCAGATAAATCGTGCACCCTGTATATACTTCATCCCAATTATATCCCAAATACATTAATTTTTCATTGCATACAAGCAATAAAAGAAAGGCATTATTTTTATTTTTTATTGCAAATTTGGTTTAAAAAATAAAAATGCCAAATACTCGTAATGTTTTAAAGTGTCCTATTTTTGGACAGTCATCAGATTTCGTTAAAAATCAACTATTATTTCACGTTGATGTGGCAAAATGCTACGAATTTATTCGGGAAAGTTCCAAAATTTCAGCAAAAGAACCGACTTTTCAATCTGTTTCCAAAATATTAGCAGATAAAATCAGGGCTATTTGGGAATAAATATCTTTACCAACGATAACTTTTCAAAAAACTCCTGCAAAATATAAGAAATTCCATGATGAAATGCAAAAATTAAAGAAATTCTCATCAAAACCAAATCTATATTCTTCGAAAATTGAAGCTTTTAAAAAGGAATATGAGAATAAACTTTTTGACATATGCTGCTGTAAATGCATTAATTTTTCTAAAGGTAATTGCGTAAATAAAGTTCCAATATTAGAAAGATCTTTTTTATTAGACCAAAGAGGTCCGTGAAAAATGGTAATTGGAACAATCGATGTACCCATTACAAGAAAATTACAAAAGACTTACAAAAAGGAAATTGTTGAGCAGAAACATATTTCTAGAGCTCGAACTGCAGTATCTGAATCAAATACAGTTGATATCGATTTTTTAGATACAGAATTAAAGAATCGGAATCAAACTCTGTATATGATGACGAAACCAATATAGAATTATTTTCTACACTGAATAATAATCAAAGTTCAAAGACATCTAAACAAAATAGAATTGGTTTTCCTAATGTGGCAAGGACTTGTGACAAAATAGGAATTTCTGATCGAGTAGCAGCGATAATTGTAACTTCCACTTTACAAGATGTAGGAATTATATCTCCGAACAATTTTTCGTTGGTGGTCGATCGAAGCAAAATTCGTAGAGCACGTAAAGCTGCTCGAACTGAAATTCAAAATTCACAGTCATCTCAACATCTGGAATTGCTTGGGATTCATTTTGATAGTCGAAAAGATCAAACTATTTCTCAAATAAAAATTGGAGAAAAGTTTGCAAAAAAAAACTGTTGGAAGAACGTATTGTGCTTCTTTCGGAACCAGGTTCAAAATACATTGGTCACTTTACAGCAATATCAAGCACAGCCCTTGCAATTAAAACTGATTTATTTGAATTTCTTGTAAGAAAAGAATTCAATATCAAGAACCTAATTATCGGCTGTGATGAAACTGTTGTGAATACAGGCCCTAATAGCGGAGTTATACGGTTATTGGAATTGGAACTGAAAAGATCTTTACAATGGTTCATATGCATGTTATACTGTAATGAGTTACCATTACGCCATTTATTTTTAAAACTAAATGGGAGAACAGTTGGCCCAAAGGCATTTTCAGGATCAACAGGAAAACAGCTTCAAATTTGTGAAACGCTTCCGGTGGTTTCATTTGAATCAATTTTATCAGATTTGCCACTCATAGACTTCGCTGACCTTAGCATAGACCAAAAATATTTATATGAAATTGTTACCGCGATTTTCAACAATAATTTATCTACCGACGTAGCTGATAGAAATCCGAGAAAACTTAATCATTCCAGACGGTTAACATACACTGTAAAAAATATATGTAAAATTACATGAATAATAAATGTAAAAATTATGCAATTAATAGTGGAAATTTGTAAAATTATGTATTTTTACAAAAAAATTATATTTTTACTTCTTATTGTGTATATGTATCTTTATATTTAATGAAAAAATATACAAACAATATTATATTTCACTGATTTTAGGTAAATTTACAAATTTTTGTAATACTACATATTATAACGGTAATATATACACATCATATTGGAATTTTTACATAAAGAAGTGTAAATAAACGAAAACTAAAGTAATTTTACAAAACTAAGGATAATTTATAAATCTATATGTAACAGATAGTAATAGAATGGGAAGATACAAGATGGCGTTGCCATGTGATGGTAATCGCACGAACAGACAGCGTTTTGCCTTTGTGCGCGAGCATAACGTGTGTGCTACATTGTTCAGTGCTAGTCCAAACATGTGTAGACGTGTCCAGAGAAGCGACAGTTCTTTGTATCGTGAATGGTAATTAATGTAATAAATATTAATAACTACAAAGAATTACACCAACTTTCAAAGTTTTTTGAAGTGAAGTTCGAGTCGAAAATGAAGCGATCACTTGCTGGAAGCCGGTTAGGTTCGGATACAAGTCCAAGAGGAAGTCTAAGTGTATCACAATCAGCTTCCAGCAAGCTACGTGACTTCATTTTCGAGTGATGTGTCACTCTAAATAAGTGATGATTTCGAAATGAAAATATAGCCATTTGGAATTGTAAGAGTGAATGTCTCATTTGAGGTTATGACGATTATAGAGAGTGTATTAATTATAATTAATTTATTCCTATGAGAATGATACATATTAGATTCACTCTTTAATTTCGAGTGAAAATATTCACTAGATAAATCAGAGTAAAGAATCACTCGAATTTGTGTGATTGTTACTTTACTTTTGGTAAAATTTTACTCTAAGAAATATCAGAAAAGAATACATATTTACTCTAATATTTTTCAGGAAAAATCATATATCAGAGATACCACAAAGAAATTTTATTCATTATTCAAATGTTATTCAAACAACAGACACAATTAATATAATCCGGAATTGATATAATCTGATTACTGATAATGATATAATAGATACTTTATAACAAAAAAGAAGTACTTAAGGAAAAATAAGTATCACATGCTTAAATAAGAATTATGTATAGTAAATAAGAATTATATACAATAAGAAATTATGTGTATTATTGTTACAGTTTTCGTGCGTTAGATCAGTTACAAATTTTTTCCACTTCCTTCTTACTTTCAATTTCTTTTTTTCCTTTTATATTTAATTAATTATTAATAATGTCAACCTACAATAATGTCAACCTACAATAATGCCTACAATAATGTCAAA